CATCATCATCATCATCATCATCATCATCATCATCATCATCATCATCATCATCAACATCATCATCATCATCATCATCAATTTGTCTTTGATTTCCTCCGGCTAAATCTGTGTTACACAGAGCGAGAGAAGTCAGACCCCACCCCAGCCGGCCTCATGATCACGGAAAAGAAGAAAGGCATGGGTCTCCGGTGTGTTCAGGTCACGCTGGTCATCATCAACAGCCTGTTTGCGGTGAGTGTTCATTCATTCATTCATTCATTCATTCATTCATTCATTCATTCATTCATTCATTCATTCATTCATTCATTCATTCATTCATTGACTTTCTTGACTGGATTTCAAACAGAAACTCGAGTTCTTCACTAACCTAGAGAACTGCACGTGCCTAGCTGTGCATAATAATATTCTTAATTCTTTCTTTTCTTTTTTTTTTTGGTAAGTGTTTTACAACTCTCGCAACTGCATAAGGTCATATTATGAGCGTGTGGGACACATTAATAAAGATTTTTAGTTGGTAGGAAATTTTGAATTTTGCCCTGGTGGCGGCCGAAACGTACGCCCAACTTTTATCGATTTTGGACCACCAATGGATCTTAAATGTGCGCAACTTGCACACGAGATCTTCGAGATATTTCGCCCTTGTCCGAGAAGACTAGGTGTAGATCTTTCCTACCATAAGATCAGGGGTGTGGCTGTTCTCGTGTGGTTTGTACTAACTCTTTCCTATGAGATATATAGAAATATATTATATAGATATAATAAGAAAGAGCCAAGGAGTAGCTGTGCAGTAGAAAGGCTGCAGTTTGCTAATTCTAAGTCTATTCTGATACTACACTTTCTATTTCACTTTACTTTGCTTTACTTTTATATGCCGCTTACACCCTTTCGGGTGTCGCGGGAAGAAAGAGACGTCTCTCTACCACCAGCCGGAGAGCTTGGGTCAGGGGGATGCCAGGAGGTGTTAGTGTTTTCCTGACTCATCTAGCCAGGTCTTTCTCGGTCGCCATCCAGCCTTGTTGCCTGAATTTTTTTTATGTAGGCACGTTGTGCTGGATGGTATGTTGGTAATCGCATGAGGTGTCCGAACCATTTGATTCTTTGGTGTTGGATGTGATGCATGACATCATTTGCGCCCACCATTTCTCCTACTACTGTGTTTCTAATTTTGTCTCGCATGGTCTTGTTTACTGCTTTTCTAAGACATCGCATTTCACATGTTGTAATTCTTTACTCCAATGTCTTGTTCGTGGTCCATGTGTAGCATTGATAGGTGAGTGGAGCGTGTTGGGATGAATTTATTGTTGATCATTTTAAGTTTTGTTGTAATGGAGATGCTAGGATGTTTCAGTGAAGGAGCAAGCTGGTAACTAACATTATAGTTCTATGTACGTTCGTAGTCTTTTTAGCACATTTTTTTTCTAAACATTTTATAGCCTTAACATCCGTAGTTATAAAATGTCTAGAAAAAATTGTGCTAAAAAGACTACCAACGTACATAGAACCCACCCAGGGCCCTCTACAATTCGCATATCGTCACGGGAGAAGTGTGGAAGACGCCATTCTACTGTTTCTTGACAACAGATTATTATAGACACTTAGACAAGCCAAAAACATACTGTAGGATCCAGTTTGTTGATTTTTCGTCAGCCTTTAATACTATCCAGCCAGCTATAATTTTTAAGAAATTAGAAAACATAGGTGTTAACGTCAATTTAATATCATGGATAGG